GCAAACAAAACTAAAATTATACAAAACGTAAATTAAAGTAGTTTTTGAGCGTTTCCCTTCTTCTTCTCCGAACTTTGCGTTTTTTGTTCCTGTCCCAAATGTAAGTTACAGTTTTTGTCTTCCTTGGCCAGACGATTGGACATTTAAAGATAATCTAAGTCTTCCAGCTCGTTAATTCTGACCGGCTTACCCTGCGGAGAGGTCTTGACATATATTGATCCATCCATTGACCAGACACTCAACAATTCATCATTTCTCCGCATCTCGTTTGCCCGATTCATTATTTTTTTCCTGTACGAGGTAAGATTCTCGTTTAAAAAAATTCTGTCGGCTTGCACTAGAGTTGACGACGAGCACTGCGGGAAGATGTTAGAAACAAGTGAGTAGTTTGCGAAAATAAGTTCTCAAGGGGAAAGATTTGCTTTACTTTATTAAGTAAACCATAGTTACCGTAAAATAGCAGCACGATTTGACATTCAGAAGAACAGGGCTTTAGCTTCGCAGATCAGCGAGTTTCCTTTCAGTTTCGACGCTTCAAAGGGCACAACAAAGACGTTGAATGGCTAATTCGCTCGGAAAACTGAGATGACTCAGCATATGAAAAACCTCAGACAAGGAAAACTAGTGACTAGAATATTCCTCGGTTTGCAGGTCGATACAGCGAAGATATACCAGTTTAGAGACAAGTACGCTCTCTCAACTCAACTGTACGGCAGCCATCGACGTTATGTTAAAATAAGTGATAACGTAATAAAACGTCAGTGGGAACAAAGCCATGGTTGCCACAGCCAAAGAATTTTGAAATTTGCTGACTTTTTTCCTGAGAAAGGTAAAATTTCCCTGACCAATTGAATTAGAAAAAAATTCACAAATTAGTCCTGGTAATGGCCTCCAACCTCCGCTCACAGCATTGGAAATGAAAGAAAACAATGAAAATAAAAGAGAACGAAGTGCATGATTTCCGTCTCAAACCAACTCGAGCTTGCATTACAGCGGAATCTAGCAATTGTACTAAAGAACATACCCCCCAAAAAACTTTAAGTGTTAGCATCTTTGATCAAGATAACGAATAGGCCACTGCAAGACACTTCTTAGCATTATCCGCTTCCTCTCTTTTCTGATATCCTTTAGCTCTTACCACAATTGCTTCTATGACCAGATTCCAATTGTGGCTTTTATTTTTCAGCTTCTGCACAAAGATTATCTGCCTTGTCTAACAATGCTGATGCCTCTGACTCTAGCCTTCTTCTGGCATTCCTTCAATTCAGAAAGCAAATTTTTGCCTATTTCTTTCAGCTTCACTTTCTTTTTTGGCTTTTTTTCTGATCCTCCAAAAAGGAAGAATACCTCTGGAGGAATTGCTTGCAGGATTTGAGCAATTCCTTGCTGACTGGGATGTCATGAATTTTACATTCCATGTGCCTCACCCCATCATGAACAGTTCTAAATGGCTTCAGAGTATCCTCTCCTATTTTGCAGGAAAGAATTTCTTTTTTCTTTGCCAAACCATGTTGAATGACAGCTTGGCCATGCGACAGCACTTCAACCAATTTCACTACTTTACACAGTACATTGAAGTGTGGCTTTTGAGCAAGGAAATTGAAGAAGAACTTGTCCAACTTCTGATAGGTGGTGTATGCCTCAAATTCGTCTTTGTGATACTTCTGAATTTGAGTCGAAAGAGCTTCAATCTATTGTTTGGCTGGATCACACTCATCTGCAGCACACTAGCAGTTTGGCTAACATTCTCTCGAATTTCCGAGAGGCATCATCAGGCTGAAGGGCCATATGTCTTGGTTCAAGGCATCACTAGTTGGTACTTCAAGAGACATCTTTTCAAAAAGTTTCAGAAAAAGGAAAACCGAGGTGGAAATAAACAGAATAGAAGATGCCCCCGAAATTGTTGTCGCTTCGTGTGTCTTACATGACATATTTCTGATTGCTGGGGATGACGTCTATGAATTCTTGGAAGATGGCTACGATGGTGATGATGATGATGATGCTGTTGGCGATGATGAATTTCTCCCAGAGACAGAAGGAAATGACAAAAGAAAAATCAAATAATGTGAAGTCTTCCATGAACTGTTAACGTGTATTGAAGAGAATCTAAAATGAACTGCTAAGAGTAAATATTATTTTGTTGTAACGTATAAAGTTTACTTCTGAACTAGGGCGTACCTATCACATTACATGACTGGTCTTCTTACTGGTGGACTTGCTAAGTTGTGTGATTATCAAATTTATATTTTCAGTGAGTATTCCTAACTCATCAGCAATTAATGAAGGTAAAGTAACAGAACCTAGATCTTCTAGGGTGTCTAATAAACCACAGTTTAGTATCTAGCACAGCACAAACTTGCTAAGGATTATGGGAACAAAAAACTGAGCTAACAGAAATTCATGTTTGATGAATTATCTCTTGTCTTCAAAAATAACCCTGTCGGACAATACTATCATTATCTTAGCAAATCAAGCTAGTACAAGAACATGTAATTGGCCCTCCCATTTTACTGAAATGTTTACTAGGGCAACGCAAAGAAAAATGGTAACCTATATCAAAAAAACCTCGTCTTGTTTTTAAGCATGTTGAGATCACTCTTATGGCTTTTGCTTAGTACACTGCAAAGATCTTTCATTTTTTTCAAGTGATTTCACAAAGACTTGTAAAAATCTTCCCTTAAATGCCATTTTTTCAATGTGCATTTCTTCAATCTTTTTCAAGTTTTCTCGCTTTGTTCGCGAGAATGGGTAAACGCCTTAAACAACGAGACAAGATCCTGGGTATTTTCCTTTTGCTTAGCAACTGTCCTTTTTTTCTTTGTTTACGTCCGACAAGAGATCAGAGGTGCCTGCTTCACTTGTACTTTCAGATGAGTCTACATCTACAATGGAAGAATCAAGGGATCAATTTTGGTGTCTGGGAAACTGCCCACCTACCCCGCCCCAAACCCAACATTTTGCCCTAAATGAGAAGTAAGTGTTAATGTTGACTTAGGGGAAGGGTAGGTGGGCAGTTTCCCAAAAACCTAAATTGATCCGAATCTAGATTTGCGGAAGGACCTTGTGATCTTTTTTGACTGCCCTTTTTGTTGCTAAAAAGAGCAGCAGGTCTCACTGTATCATCGTCATGAAATATATCATGCATTTCATCGAAGTTTGCGTCGCATTTTCTCATAGGGTTGTCACCACTCTTGTTGTTATGATCAAGGGAGGTCATGTAAGACCTTTTTAAATTCTTAAACTTTGTTCCACAGGCTTTAGTTTCACATTCGTTAAAACCCTTTGAGTTCATTATTCCCGCAATTTCATTCCAAATGATTTTTTTTTTAGGATCCTTGAAGCTTTCCCTTTTTTGGCCGTATATTTCCAACAACTGTAGAACCTCTGCCCTTGACCGAAATTTGCAGTGGATAGTGGAAGATCCTGTCTGTAAACTTTGGCTTGGTACTGTTACAGGGCTTTCAGGTCTATGGGTACCAACGGCTTGTTCTTCCGGAAAAGGACTCAGCTGAGGACTTCTGAAGCCGGGCAAGACTGTGGAAGAGGCATCTGGGTTCAATTTACTAAAACTTCTGCAAGTGCAATTGAAAGCGTAGCTATTGTTTTCTGACCGTAAAACAATGGGTACACCTGTAAATTACACTTGTAAAAGTTTTATTTAATTGAACCCTGATATCCGTGTTGTGGAAGAGGTATCTGGTTTCCCAGCAGAAAATGGTACCATTTCTCTTGTATGTCGGGGGAATAAACAAAATTACAAGTTTATCATTTCATGCCGAGACAACAAGTTGTTATTTGTCGAACGTTATTCACTCGAAAGGTTTAGATCATAGGCTTAAGCCTCATAGTACATTCTTCGGATTTCAAAGCCGATGAATCCTTTTTCAAAAAGGATTCTCCAGATCAAAAATCTGGATCTGGATTTGCCGAAAGGAACGCGAAATCCTTTTTAAGATTTAAAATCCGTTTTTGTATTCACCGAAAGGAACACACCCTACAATTCGAACTTTTAAGTTGGACAACTGCATATAGTGATCTATGACTCAATTTAACCTTAATTTGTCGACTGCAGGGGCGGATCCAGGATTTTTCGTAGGAGGGGAATACAGAATACCAGTTGTATTAGAAACCCGCAGGTCATCTCAGGCGG